GACGTAGATTGCTAAGCCTTTTAAAATTTTGCACGTGAAGGATATGAAACAAAATAATTTTTTAGGTTTTATATATATATAATTTTAATTAAATTATATTATTTAAATTTAATTAAATTACTACATCAATACCACAGAATTCCACTATAATTTATCAAGCTTAGTAACTAAGCTGCATTTCGGTCTAAAAAAATATGAAATTTTAAGCAGACTAAAGACACAACCTACCTCTTTGAAATCTTGGTTCAAAAGAAAGAGATGGCATCTTAAGAACTTAAAATGGCTAAGAAAGCCTCTAGGGGGACATTCTGAACTTTTGATATATATTATATCGATAATTGTTCTCAAGAGCACCAAAATTCATATTATTGTAGCAACCTTGCATAATCAGGGTTAGTACCAACAAAGGTTGGATGTGTGATGATGTCAAGAATTAACACACACAAGTTTTTGCAATTATCTTTTCTGTAAGTTAAAACTTGCTGAATCTGTGTGCACAGAACATAGTTCACACCAACAGAGATTTTGGTTCAAGTACATATCGTGTACACTAGGGGCTCCATAGAATAAAAATGCAGAAATTCCAAACATTGTACAACTTGAGATTTAATAACATATAATGTTTTGTACTACATAAACTGACAGGGCTTTAATGGTGAAAAGAGAGAAAGTCTTAATGTTCCTAGATATACTAGTGCACCACTCTCGATTACCTGAGGCCCTCTAGTGGCACAGCAGTATGTCCGCGGACTTACAACGCTAGAAACCGGGTTCCGATACCCGTGGTGGGCAGAACACAGATAGCCCATTGTGTAGCCATGTGCTTAACTTCAGACAAACAAATGATTACTTGACAATTTATTTGTTGAAGAAAGGATACAATTACACATGTAGTGTTTCAAAACATTATTGAATTAATATTTTTACAGGCAAGGTATAAACACACGAAACAACTTCAACTATTAAATACCAGATATGAAAATAGTAAGATTCATTTGAACAAACTTGGAAAATATCTTTGATGATGAGCCATGATTTTGTGTATTATATGTATATATGAATATATTATTTCATGTATTTATGTTTTTGAGAGGATAGAACTGTTTTTTTTTTGTTTTTATCTTTATGGCTTTTTTAACCAGAAACATTTAAAGTTTTTATATTTGATGTAACCCTGACTGGTTAGGCAACCAACATGTGAAAATGATAGATTAACTCTATGTGCATAGGTGAGGGACAAAGTGAAAATGCCACGACCTTTTACCTAGTGCTATTCAACATGGTGTTATGTATTTCTTGTCATGTATTACTAACTATTCAGTTTACCCTACATTTCTGATTTAGCAACATCTGATGGTAGAAGAGGGTAAGTACCAGATACATTATACAAGGATACTGAAAAAACTGTAGATATGAATGTTAGAGGTACTTGAGGCTATGCACACAAACTTTACTATGGACAGAAGTATTTTTCTTCTTCACATGAACATCATCGTGCATTCAGACTGATATTATCAATTCACAGAAATCTGACTTTTAGTGTGCAACAGACTTCTACATTTTAGTCAGAGCTTTCTACATTTCATGTAGCAAATTCAGAATTATAATTAACATTCCTTTTCCAATACAAGGACCCCTACAAACCTGGTTCAAGAGTATAACTGTTCAGAGTTTCTTGTTATGCTAATACTCATTCCATAAAAGAGTGTCACAAAATATCAGTATGATTACTAGAATCCATTGTAACGTTGTCTTAATGATGCCTGTATGTATTCGTGGTATGAAGGACTTAAGTTTTGTATAGCTATTTACTTATATAATAAACAGAGTCATTGAAAAGTAGCAGGACTCTGGTGTACAGTAAATGTAACAGTTTTCTTTGTGTTATTAGTGACTGAGCTTTTTTTTTCTCTTGGAATGATCTGTTTTATTCTCATTTAAGCTTATGTTTATAATCTTTTATCTGAATAAATAGTATTACAGGAAATTAATTTCTTTGATATATATATTCTGCAGTTCTGTTTTGAACCACCCATTATGTTTTTTGTGTATTTTTTCATCTTTTAATAATACTTGTTGAAATATTTTTTTAATTGTACATTTTAACAGCTCTCTTTTTAATTATTACTTAGGAATGCATTCGAGCGTTAGGTCGTCGAGGAACTCATCTACCTTTCCGAGCAAGTAAATTAACTCAGGTACTGAGGGATTCTTTTATCGGTGAAAACTCTCGAACATGTATGGTAAGTACAGAATGAATGTTCTTGTTTTTAAACATATATAGTAAACATAACATAACATTAAAGGACAACAAGAGACATTTTGGTCCACCTGGACTGTCCTATTTATGAAATTGAATTAAGCACTAAAAAAACTCAAAGCTAGCCCTTATCGTTCAAATATTTATCAAGCTTTCCCTAAACCTCGTTTTAATTAACATCTGTGTATCTATCACATCTGAAGGCAATCCATTCTGAAGACCAACAAGCCTATTAGAAAAATAAAGCTGTCATAGCTGAGATAACAAAGGTTGTCATACAAATTAAGATCTCTAAATTAGTTTTTTCTTGATAAAATAAGAGTTAGAGGTAATCTGATTGAGGTGTTTAAGATTCTTAAAAGAATTGATAATGTTGATGCCTCATCTATTTTAGTATTTATTGGGATATAAGTTATTGCAGGGTAGGACCATTCCGGGTATTATTCTAGTAACCCACTTCTGAACTCTTTCCAACAATTCAATGCCTTTTCTAAAGTAAGAAACCTAAGACTGAACACAGTACTCCAAATGTGGCCTAACCAATTAAGTTCATATACGCTGACATTATAACCTCTTTAGAATTGTATTCAGTATTTCTATAACACAAACTAAATTCCTATTTACCCTGCCACTAGCAACAGCACCAGTGCTTAGATGGTTTAAAAGACTGATCAACTAGAACACCAAGATCTTTTTCTTCCATAACACTGTTAAGGTTATTGTATCAAAATTATTCACATAATTCAAAATGTGATATCCCTCATGCATTCCTTTGCATTTATTGTAATTAAAAGCCAGCTGCTATTTATTTGCCCAACTCACCAAATAATCTAAATTCTTTTGTAAACCAGCAACATCCTCCTCACAGTCAGCAACACCCACCGTGTATGGTAATAATAGATTGGATGATATTCTTTTTAAACACATATTGTAAATATAAACTGGATCTAATTCTTTTTAAACATTTATAGTAAATATAAACTGGACTGCATTCTTTTTAAACATTTATAGTAAATATAAACTGGACTGTATTCTTTTTAAACACATATTGTAAATATAAACTGGATCTAATTCTTTTTAAACATTTATAGTAAATATAAACTGGACTGTATTCTTTACAAAATTACTGTAAATGTAGACTGGATCTAATTCTTTATAAAATTACTGTAAATGTGGACTGGATCTAATTCTTTATAAAATTACTGTAAATGTAGACTGGATCTAATTCTTTATAAAATTACTGTAA